CATGCGGGCGGTTGTTCGTTGCGGCGTGGTGATGTCGGCTCGAGGTCCGGAGATGGCGAGGGTGAGAGGGCCAGCGCCTGCGCTGCTGAGGCGTAGTCGAACGGCATGCTCGGGAAGTATCTCGATAAGGTTGCAGAAGTTCGTAGGTTTTCGGGCTGTCGGATTATGTCGGGCGTCCGTTGGGATGCGGGTTAGGTAGATGAGGGTTTGGCCTCGAAAGTTGCTGCGGTGTTGGGAATACAGAACAGCAGTAGCATGTGTACAGGCTGAACCTGTGTTCCGCCTACTAAGCTGTGGTAGATCCGACTGGTCTGAAGAATCGGGAGTCCCGGCTTCAATACCAATCCGTCAATTCGAATTATCGTTGGACTTCCAATGTTCACCTGGCCATGCTGTCTTTCGGAATCGGCATCACAATGGCCCAAGAATGTGTTGCTGCATGTTGACGCGAGTGGAATTGAATGTAAGGCAACTAACGGGAGACTTGCAGACGAATGATGACGGGATTGTGGGGCTCTGCTCTCGGGCCGCGTAGGACCTTGTGGCGATGCAGTCGGAAATTCAGCTGTTGTTCAAGCACTGCCTTATCTGATCTACAGCAGGTAAACAATGGTATATGCAGGAGGCACCTAACACCAGCATACCCATCCGTACCTTACGTACCATGTTATTATTAGCCCACACTAAATCTTGTTGTTGAGTACCAACATATTGTTTCGCCATGGTACTCAAGGCACATGTATGGTGAGCTTGCTTCAGCCTGCTGTAAGTACAGCACATGACATGCATTAATTACATCATCCAAGGCCCTAAAAAGTGCCGTACTCTTTGGGTAAGAAGTCGCAGCATTGTTTCCTAGTTGACAAACAGTCATTAATTCAAAACCTCTCAGCCTCCCAACCCACTACATTGGTCTATGAGCATAATACCAGTTCAGGGAACAAATCCTGGAGTATTTCGGGAATACAGTGCGGCTTGCAATTCTCTTGACGATGGTAAAACTCCGGAAAACTATGAAACAAAATTCTTGCAGGCTAGTCTTTGTTTCGTATGCCGGTTTTCTATTCACAATGCCTCTAAGCTTAATTGAGTAGCTCTCCACTCTACGGCCCGTCATGCATGCATCCTCAGCCTTAAGAATTGAAAGAATAATTTTCATTGGCTCGCACGCCAGAATTTCTCCAGATCCGAGATTCCCGGATCCACTTACACGTGGGGTGTGGATTTAACAACCGGGGCAACTTGTATAACTTCGTGATAACTTCAAGGTATACTTATTCTGCTAGATCTTTACGCTATTTATATGATTCTCAGGTGAATTATAATTTCCAACTTTTTTAATTTTCACTGAGATAGGTTAGGTAGTCTAAAGCCTACGGTTTTTACCACTGATATATATTCGGTGCTAAGTACAACCGTCATGCGGCAATCGTCAGACTGAGAACCTGTTGATGCCGAAAAGGCGATGAGCGCAGAAACTGAAATGTACCTACTTAGTGAGATTAACCTAAAATACTTTAATAGGAAGCTTTGTCGTGTATAGCGTCTACCTATGCATAGTTTTCTTTCCTTATAGCATCATTTCGGCCAATGATAGGCAGAGGTAATTGAGCCCCGTCTCACATACCCTACCCAGTCCGCAGCATCACGTAAGACAAAGAAAGGAGAGGAATACCAGTGAGTAGTATTTGTCTAGATAAATATCTTGATATCAATTATGGGGTCCTATCATGAATAACAGACATTCGAGACAGCCAAAGTACCCTTCTGGATGACCCCGACCAAGAAAAAGGTCAAGCTGCACCAACCTAGAGTATCGGTCACGGCAACAGCAAACAAGCCCATTTCCTATCTTACTTAGAGTCGGTGACTGCATGCGGCGATATGAAGTAACCCGGTCAGCAAACAGCAATTTGCTTAAAACGCATGATATTTACTCGAGATGACCGCACAGAAATGGTTGCTCACCAAGTTAGCGACCCAAAGCTGCCAATCGTATCATTAAACGATCGTCCTACTTCATAGAACCATGGTTCGCTATTAATATCATGCATGAAAAGGAATAGATAAGCTCCACGTCATGCTATCTATGTATGCCTCGAGCTGCCTACCCCTCCTGAAATGGTTGGTGCCAGCCCGGTCCGCGGCCTATTAGAAGGTTCTAGCCGTCACATCGAAATAGTAATGGATAAGTGTAGATCTTCTATGGGTTTCTCGATATTTGCCGCGTCTTCGTTGTTCCAGCCTATCTGAAGGGCCACGACCTACAGGAACCCCCCGGGGCTGACACGTAGATACGAACTAGCAGTTCTGTCTACAGGTATCTCTGTTGCATACAGTTTATTATACTGCCCTCTCGCTTATGGAACGGTGCACGGGTATATAAAGACAACCTTGAGCTGTCCAACTCATGTCTGATCTGACCATCAGATTCACAGACCTATTCTATCTACCTACAACAAGAACAACTCGCGATTAACATCAACTCTCTCTGACCTCGTCTCGCGAGAACCAATATCTTTACAACGCAACCCTCTCAAAGCACACCATGAATCTCACTACATCTTTCCTTACCGCAACGCTCGCCTTAGCACCCATCGTGAGTGCCGGCCCGGCCGCATATGGTATTTGCCAAGCTGGCTGTGCGGCTGTTGTAACGGCATGTTATGCGGGGGCCGGGTTTACGTGGGGGGCGACGGCCGGTATCTCGGTACCAGCAACCATCATTGCCTGCAACTCAGCATTCGGAACCTGTCAAGCCAGCTGCTGGGTCGCCGCTATCGCGCCAACTCCTTGAGGCCGGTGCGTGTGTAGGTATCTCCACCAAACTATTATATGCCCAAACGAACCCAACCATCTAACGATTGGTTGTGGACAGTACACGACATAAGTTAGATCGAATCCCCCATGCTACAATGGACGACATATGGCCTTAGGCCGCTACCGTCATAGTTACAACCCTACCTTCAGGAAGGTGTCATAATGTGCCGAGATGATATATATCGAGGTATTAATGTGGGAGGGCATATGGATTAAAATTCTTTTTGGTTTAGCGCATCGATATCACTCGTTTTATAGTTTGGCTAGCTAATACTATGACATTCGACATGGGAGGAATCATTAGATCTTAACTCCGAGTGCCTCGTAGATTGCACTTATGTATGCCTTAGACGGCGTATTTCCAATCAGGGAGGCCGATCTCTTGTTCATGGCATAAGTAATAGTGACCTTACGGCCAACATCCATGATACCAAGAGAGCCCCCAGAACCGCCGAAGTAAGCAATATCACCAGCAGGCATCCAATCATGGACCCAGTCTCCATCGCCTTTGATAGCATACCCGATGCCGAAACGAATGGGGGTTCCGATAGCGAGGTCCTTTCCATTGGATTGTTCCTCGAAAATCAAGTCGACGGTCGACTTAGACAGCAGTTGCTTGCGCTCGTTAATACCTTCGTGGCCCGCGAGCGTGACGGTCGACAGTATTTGGTTCATGGCGTAAGCGTTACTATAACCGTTCGAAGCACCGACCTCTCCTTGCATCCATGCAGGCCGTCTCCCTATGTCAGGGGGCATCATAGGATTTGCTATCGCTTTCATGAAGAGAGGACCAGGCTTAAAGTCCGGATTCGGCCCCGGCGGAGGTGTTGTCTTGGCAACACGAGGCGCATCTTTCTCTAAGATACCGAGTTGGAAATCGGCACCTAATGGCGTTGCGATCTTCTCCGTGATAAACTGCTTCAGACCCATTCCCGTCACACGACGTACGATCTCGCTCAATAGGTGACCGAAGCTATAAGCGTGATACGCCGATGCCGTACCGGGTTCCCACCACGGCGCTTGGAGAGCTAACTTTGCAGTAGACGTAACAGGGTCACATATCTCATCCATGATGACCTTATCATCCCAGCCGGCAACACCGGATGTGTGCGAGAGAAGATGGCGTATCTCGACGTTCTCTTTCCCATTGGCGGCGAACTCAGGCCAGTATTTAGACACCTTATCGTAGACGGAAATGACGCCACTATCGACAAGCATGAGGACCGCAAGGCTGCTGAACATCTTCGTGCTCGAGGCCACGCCAACGATGGTATCCTCGGCCCAAGGCTGCTTGTTTTCCGGATTTGCGTAGCCGCCCCAGATGTTGACGACATCCTCACCGTCAACGTTGACAGCTATAGAGGCGCCGGTCTCTTCTCCCGAGTCGACGAACTGCTGGAGAAGAGAACGGACCTTCTCGAACTGCGGAGTGCACTTTCCATGCACCTCAGCCATTGCGGTGATTCTGGAAGTGATAAAATATAATGATTATAGGTATATTGCGCCGTAGGATTGGACCGACCAACTGACAGCTCCCGAGTGTGCAGATCTCTAATTAGCAGTGGAAATAGAGAAAGCAGACTGAGGATGCCCAGAAAGCTGGGAGAATGCTCGAATATATATACAGAGATGATATTAGACTACATACATTTACATTATATTTCCCCTCGGCCTAATATCCTAAAACTATGGGGTTCTGTACCGGGGCGAGAGTAATGAATTGGCTTCGAGTTTTCCGGCCAAGCCCTTTCCGGACGCCGAATGTATGGGGCCGCAAGCGCCACCCGGCGCGTGACTCATGCCGTATCACAGCACTAAACTCGAGTGTAGTTTCTACAACAGAGAGCAGGACAGAAATGAGGTTGAGAATAGAGGAACCCTATCTTGACTATAAAATAGACGCTATAGAAGCTAGGCTAAGAGAAGAGCTACGTAGGCTTTGTTGGCCACTCTACTGTAAATAAGGAATTTGACGAACAGGAGCTGACGGCGCAAATAGACTATTGGAATAATAACGCTGCCAGGCCAACTAAGTAAATGATTAGTAGAATAAAAGGAAAACAAAGAGAACTGTCAACAACTTAATAAGTGGTTGGTTTGTTGCAAAGACCCCACAAACTGCCTAGCCATGTTCCAAAACTTCTGGATACTTATGTTGATAAGGCAAAAAGATGCAAAATTGTTTCCGCCCGGGATTGAACCGGGGATCTTCTGTGAACATGAGAATAATGTAAGACAGACGCCCTAACCACTAGGCCACGAAAACCTCAATGAAATCAAACTCCGATCTCGCATAACGATTCCGATCTTAATTTGTTTACTATATCTCATAAACTGAACGGGGGCAATGCTTTCTCGGATACCATTTCCTATAAGACTCTCTAGCTACGGAGTATTTGCGCTCATGAAACTATCTCAGTGTCTCATTCTATCACCCCAAAATGGTATTATCAAATTTCAGGATTATAGTTTAACGAGGTAGAGAAGTTGAATATAGTAAATAATAGGTTAAGCTGTCTTCAAATGGGTTATATTCCCACCCTACGTATCACATCCATTCATGAATCTAAATATATTTTCGCGACAGGGCTCTCTGAAGAAATTTGCCACGAGAATTTGCTATATCGGGACTTTCGGTGCTACCTCTTTCCAGAATGCACACCTCTCCCTGAGCTGAACGAGTTTCGCGCTCGCAAACCCGGCGCTATCAATCACCCACTCTCGCCCCGTCTCCCAGTCCGGCAATCCAGAAACGTCGGTTCCTGTTAGTTTCAAGGCGTTGGGATCGCCAGTCATGAAGAACGACGCTATGGCACCTATCCCGCAGGGACTTATCAGCCTACTCGCGAACAGCTCTATCTTCTTGGTTGGGAAAAGGGGGGGAAGGGGGGTAAAGAGATTGGCCCGCGAACCTGCGTAGCCCTTATAATGCAGAGGATCCTGCTTTTGGGCTGAATTGACAGTGTTCCACTTGGTTATGGTCTCTCGTTAGTAAATGACGCCAGTAGTGAGATGCATTGATCGGACGTACCCAATAAACATCGGAGGCATGCTGCGCTGGGGCGATTGTGTATTCTCCGATCCAGCCACCATCCGTCGCACTGCCAGCCATCCAGTACGCGGGGCATGCGAGAGTCGAGTCTCTATAAATCAGTCCAGCCCGAGTAAACGTGTCATTATAACTGGCGACATGCTCCGCGCTCCCCACCTCGGGGTACAAGTCCTTCAACTTATTTAGTTCAGGCTGTGAGAGTGCTGGGAGATAGCCCGAGACCCATTGATCGAAAGAAGCCGTCGACGCATTAAATGGTGGTATACCAGTGTCAGAAGTACTCTTCAATCCCGCCGGCAGGAAATTCTCGCCCTCGTGGGTGTTGTACATGCCATACCCAGCAACAATACTCCCCTTTCGACGTGCCGTGGAGGTGGAGAGAAGCTCTTGCAAGAAAACACCATCGATCACGGGACTCCACTCGAATGTCGACGTGGTATACTTATGACTATCAACGATGGCGAGGCTCGCGTCGCGGATCTTCTGCACGTCCACGTTCTTAAGACACTTCAGGCTCTCCAGGCCGGCGCAACCCGTCAAGTTCGCAAGGGCATCATAACGCGATTGTGCCTCGGGCGCATCAATGCGATACGTCTTTGGCCAAAACGGGCTCGAAGCAAGAGCTTGTCGAAACGGCGGTTCCCGTCCCTCGCTGCCTCTATTTCGGCCTTTGGCGCTGCTCTCGTGGTTTGCGATGACCTGCGCGAGCACGCTGCCGCCACCGGCCGACTGGCCCCATATCGTCACTCTGTCGGGGTCACCGCCGAAATGACGGATGTACTTCCTCGTCCAGCGCAGCGCCATCGCCTGGTCCAACAAGCCGGCATTGCCGTCCGAGAACGGGTCTTCTGCAACTTCTCTGCCTGGGAGGAATCCGAACGCGTTGACGCGGTAGTTCGGATATATGAAGATCATATTACTCGCATCGGAAACGTTAAGAATGGGGTAAGCGGACGGTGGAAGGGTGAACGAAGCTGACCCCTGGATGAAGCCACCGCCGTAGAAAGTCACGACGACGGGGCGTAGCGGGGCGCCCCCGGTCCAAGGCCGGCTGTACAGCCCGAGGTAGAGGCAGTCTTCTGAGCCGTTGACGGTCCGCTGCGGGCACATGTCAAACGTCTGGGATGAGTCGTAAATGCCGTGAGTGATTGGTAGGGGTGGCTGAGGAGCCCGGAACCTAGGGTGAGCGCACATTGAGCAATCCTACACTGTGACCAATGATTTAAAACGGGGATAGAAGTGAGAGCTTGGTTCCCAGTAGATTTACCTGTTCTGATCTATGGGTGGCGCAGCAAATGGGATCTTCTGCCAGTATGAGATATTGTAGGCAGGGTCAAACGCTCCTTGGAATGTCCCATAATCAAGGGCCGCCGTGATGACCTGTGAGTCGCCAACTCTTGCGAGAAGGGAAAGACATATTGCACCTATGAGTGAGAACATAATTACAATAGAGAAACTAGATAGTCAATTCTTCTTCGTGAGGTCTAGCTGTTTATATTCCTGTAAAATGCTGCCCCATCTATACTTTACCCGGTGGGTTCCCTATGTATAATTCTCTTCAGCCTGGGGTAGCGATGGAGAAATTTGGAGAACCAAGCCAAGCGGATAGCCAGAACATGGTTCTCAGCTCGGTTCACATTGCCCCTTTCACCGAGTCTGGTATTTCCTAAAACTTCTTTCTTGTGGGGGGCTTCTACTGCTTGCGGCATATCCAAACACCAACATTATCCGTCGATGATGACCTCAGTTCATAATAGGCGTCGTCTCATAAACACTTATTGCTCGGTTTACCGCTCCTGACTCTCCCGGATAGCTCCCCTTGAAGCTAAGTACATTATGTCGCAAGTTACTCAGTGCCTACCACTCTAACGTTCATATTGGAGTTGTCGTAGTATAATAGAGGTGCGAGAAACGGTGCTGCTTACTTCGTAGTTCATTCTAGATCAAGGTCCTGCTGCATTTCGGCCTCTGAAAAAAAGTCAGATATTGATATCCATAAACCATACTTTCGTGTACGCAATATACTTACGCCAAAGGCGGGTGGCAGAATCTGTTATGACTTGGGCCTTGGCAAGGAGTTTCTCCTCATACTTTTGTTCATCTTTCGACTTGTCTCGCAACTTCGTTGGTTGCGCCTGTGATCACGCTTAGTTCATCTCTGTAAGGGGGTTGGCCAAACGAACCTGCATGAGGATCGGCACAAGCTCCTTTGGATCTGCATTTGCTAGTAATGCGATAGTCTTGAAGCCGTTGTCATAGAAGACACGGGCTGTCCGACTTTTGATAAAGGTAACCTTAGCGAGGGCCAAAAGATCCGCCTTAGCTCCCGCTCTGAGGCGATCCGAGAAATGATCTAGTATAGCTGCCATGGCGCTGAAGAGGGTCAGCAACTTTTTCAGTTGATTAGTATTGCTCGGCACTTACCCCCAGCCCATTTGCTCACAGAATTTGACCATTCCCGCCGCAAACCCTTGGCATGTCTGCTCTAGTGTCTGAACAGTACCTCTTGGCATATCGAATTTGCGGGCTACCACGTGTACGGGCATTTCGTTACATAGATCCCTGAGCTGTAGAGCAAGGTAGAACCTTCGGTATACACGAGCTATTTCTTTTTCCGCCGAGGTTGATTCTTTAAGATTCCCACCCTGTGCCCTATGATATATGTTAACGAGTTCACGCTGGTTAGGAACGACTCTACATACATCTTGTTAATCACCGTGGGTTTCAACCCAAGGAACGTCATAACCCGGAATCCGCTTTTATCGAGGGCTTCCATTTCGGTTCTAAAGACTTGCCAATTAATAGAGACGGATAACTCCTGGACGGGCGTGAAAGTGTAGAGAATATGCATTTCGCCATCCATCACGAACGCCCGCAATGCTCGTTGCATTTCACGATGAACGAATGCACCATCACCGGGCTCGAGTGACGATGCGACGACTGCTTTCCCTAATTGCGTTGGGACGTAGGAATCCAGGTTGTCATGCTGAATAAATCCCATCTCAAGAAGATCCTGCAGGCTAGACGTGACGTGATCTTGGATCTGGTCTGATGTGCTTGAGAGGTTTAGAAGCGTTTTCTGGATATAATCATTGATAGACTCTCGTGAGTTTACCAGCCGTATGGATATAACTTCTAGTAGTGCTCGTTGAATTCGGTGTTTGTCAGTTGTTAAACCACTCGAAATATGTGGTAAATCTGCATTCATCAACTCGACCACATCTTCTAGGTCGGACTTACGACAGCAGAGATAAGTCTCACCTATCTCATCCTTACCCTTCCTTCCTGCGCGCCCACGCATTTGGCGCAACATCGAAGGCCCAATTAAGTCACGACCCATTCGTGCGTTATGGAGGATAACTCTCCGAGCCGGAAGATTTATTCCAGCAGCAAGGCTGCATGTTGCTATCACAACCTTCAGCGCCCCGCCATCATAGGCGGTAGAGATCAAATCGCGCTCTTCGGTTGTCATCCCGGCATGATGAAAAGCAACGCCCGCCGGGATAGTCTCAGCCAAGGTAGGATCAAGATCTGTTGACAAACTACGCAAATCCCCTAGGAGATCTGATCGCTTCTCAAAAACTGTAGAGTCTAGCTCGTTAGGTTGAGGTAGTACCTTGCTAATAAGACGCGCGTCTGACTCGCATCCTTGTCGGCTGCTACAGAAGACCAGAACACCGTAGCCAGACCTTGCTGTTTCATTCGCCAGAGCAACGACAGCATTCAAGACGGGGTCTTGGAATGCTTTGTGCTGGCTCATATCTATTGTCCTCACTGGCTGGCTATTTAGCTCGAGGGTACTGCTGGGATTCTGTCGTAATTGACTGGCAGTTTTCAGGATGCTCCTTATGCTTGATGCTGGGTAGATGTTCCCTTCATAGACAAGGTGCTCCTCCACGGGTATAGGGCGATAAAAGGTTCTATATGAGTGAGCGTCAAGCCATTTAGATAAGACTTCCATATTCTAGCGCCGTTAGTGGCCCAGAATAGAACGCCAGCAATCAAACAATACATACAGCCAGGGTGGCACTCATGCCAATGATCTGAACGCTATGCTCCAGGCTCATCAACTTGGTAGCGATGAGCTCCATTAGGTAGCCTCTGTGGTCATCATCTACCATGTGCACTAGAAAGCTCAGAGTTAGTTATTGCTATTTTGACCGTGCCTTGTGAGGGGCATAGAAGCTTTCAAATATCAACTTGGCCCAGAAAGG